TAAACAAGACAGGATCTGCTGTGTCGGGTGTGGAACAGGAGTCAAGCTGCCTCCCTTGTGGGGAGGACATTGGGGATGCAGATGTCCTCAAGAAGTGTGTGAGCCTCAGGAGGGACCGGAGGGGTGATGCCTGGCAGCCCCCTGCTCTTCTTGTGCCTGTTCCGAGTGAGTCCATGTTGGAGGTGGTCACAGATGGCCAGAGCTGGACCCTCCAGCACTCCCCCCCACGTCTCCAGAGGGGAGAATCTCTGCCAGTGTGGATCTGTGGGAGGTAGCTGGAGGGACTGTGCCTCCCTGTGGGTGGAGAATGAAGCTAAAGGTGAAGTGAGACAGAAAAAAAATCTTGGATAGTTTTGTTTAAGGGCAAAGGGAGGAGGGAGAAACAGTCCCCAAATAGAAACACACAGAAAAGGAAAGGGTAGAGAAAACAGTGACTAGAAAATTAAATGGTTTAAGGAAAATGAGGGACAGGGAGGTAAAAATACAGATGTTGTGGGTATATGATGCAAAGCAGAAAACAGGTGTTTAAAAAAAAATCTGTTTTACAGAATTTCTTAACACATGCTGAAATTCATGGATAGGACCTTAAAAACAGACATCATAAAAAAAATCTCTAATGATATTTTGCTTGTTGGGTTTGGATGAAACAGACCTGTATCAAGAGTGTGTGTCTGTGACATCAGGTGTGTGCATCGTTTGCTGTGACACAAGAAACTGCCTGCTGAGCAGGTTCCCAAAACTAACTGAGAAAAGAGAGGTCATTCTGCCACTGACAATGCTTTCTACAGCATTTCTACAAAACCGATAATGTCAGGAGTCTAAAACAGGTGGATTTTTCCCCCAATGCTATTACCTTCCAAAGAGACAGTAGCAAAGATTATTGAAACAGATCAGTGATATTTCACCACCACCTTACTAGAATCCTTTATTAAATTTATATTCCTGGCTACAGCTTTACAGGTTTTTTTTATTTTGTGTTTTTTGGGGTTTTTTTTTGTTTTGGTTTTTTTGGGGTTTTTTTGTTGTTTTTTTTTAGACACAGTAGTGAGAATTAATAAATTGGATCTCTTGAGAAATGGTTATTTCACAATCACTTGCTAATGCTGCTGTCAGGAATGTAAATAAATGAAGTTGCACAAAGAATGGTGTCAGTGTTAGGGGATAACCAAATACTAATTTCAAAAATAGAAGTTTAGTAAGAAGGAAGTAAACAGAAGCCAGCTTAGACACAGAACTTTTCTGTGCTCTGCCTTTGGCAACAGAAGCAGGAAAAAACCTCTCCAGAACAGTGTCAGAGTAGAAGGGTGAAAATGCTGGCCTGGCTTCCCTGAGGAATCAAAGCCTTAGGTAGTTGGGGGAACTGAAGAATAATTCATTCTGTCAGCTTATCTTTTTTTTTTTTTTGAGCTGATTGCAGTACCTTACTCCCTTTGCTTCCTGATAAAATTAATTGGTTGGTGTTTTGTTCAACCTGATCTGGGAGCTCAGAACTCTGAAGCAGCATAAACTGATGGAAATCTACCGTGCAACCAGCCTCTCCTTTGATCCAACAGTACTTTACCATGCACTTGAAAAATGCCAAATACATCAGCCAGACTCTCTCCTTTGACTTGAGATGAGTTCAGTCTCCTTGGGTAGGCAGGATGTAGTTTCAGTTTGGCCTGCAAGGTACAAAATGGCTCTTGTCCTAGGAAAAGCACCCTTCTCTTCTTTCAGGAGACTGCTTGCATATTAATTCAGATGGGAAAGAGGGTGTACATTTTTTCCACCCAAAGTTTAACTTGTTTGAGGTGATATTCAAGCTAAGGTGATGGACATTTACAACCAAGATGTCATCCTCATGTAGGGAATTAATATTAAATTTATGACTCAGAAATATTTCAGGAGATGTAGTTTTATGTGCAGCTGTTCCAGTATTAATTTTAAAAAACAGAAGGCATCCAGAAGCTCAGTGTGCTATGGCAGTTTTTTCTTCAATACTGAAAACCAAGAGCATAAGTGACTGTCATCGGTTAAGTACCTTCTGTTTTTCTTTCATCTTCTCTTCCTACATCTCGTAAGTAAAGGAGCTATCTGAGTGGTTCCTAGGATTGTTATTTTTCACTGCCACAAATAATGATTAAGTGCTGAGTGTTGTTGTCTGCTAGGGAAGCTGGAGGCAGAGTGGTCAGATAAGATGACATGACCAGTTCTCAGAGTATACAATTGCAGCCTGCTGTTTGTTTTAAAATATTAATCTACCTTCAGGCTGGAAAACCTGTTTTTTTAATCTGGTGTGGTGTCATGTTAGTACTATCAGACCTTTGTGGTTGCCAAAATAGGGCAGAAAAATGGTCTTGGAAGGTTTCCATGCAGATAATCCATCTTAAAGTGTAAACATGCTAAGTAAAGAGCCATGATTTTTGAATTGAAACCACTGTCTTCGTGGGAGTAGCTAGTGCATGAAAACGCTGTCATTTACAGGAATAATATCTATGTGATATGGATACTTAAATCGATTTTACTGGTACCTGTATGGGCTTTCTACAGTGCTCTCTGTGGGATTTGCCTTACACAATGGGGCTTTGAGGAGTCTGGTCTAGGGGAAAATGTCCCTGCTCGTGACCAGGGGGTTGGATTGTGCTCATCTTTTGGGTTCTTTCCAGCCCAGACTGTTCCATGATTCTGTGGCTCAGCCTGGTTTGAATGCCAACAAGTTGCTCAATGCAAGAGGACCTGTGCAAGGCCCATCCAGCTCCCTGGGCTTCTGCACAGAGCGAAGACTTGTTTTCAAAGATCAGGGACATCAGCTTCTCCAGGCTCTGAGGCGTGTACCTGGAAGCACCACATTCGTCTGTTTGTTTGTTGTTCGACCCCAGGGTACTTGGTTTTATTGTGGAAACAGACCTTTCCCTGTATTTGTGTCTGAGATAAGTGGTGCTGCCATCTCTGACAGCAGGAGCTGGTCTGTGCAGGGCACTCTCCCAGGGAATAGTATCCTGGAATAGCCAGATAGCACGAGTCACCTGCCAAGGCACATGAAAACCTACGAGTGTCTGTTTGGACTCTCCTCTTTTAGGTAGTGACACCAGAGAAGGCTGAAGCCTGAGGGGTTTTTTTAAGTTGTTAGGAGTCCTCCAAAGTCAGCTAAGTTTTGCTAGTAATTGTGCTCACATAAGCATGATTTCCTTCTAACAACAGGCCAAAGATCTTCTGCAACAGCAGGAATTCTATGAATAATTCATGAGTAGCTTAAGTTAGAATTTTTAGGATTAAAAAGAGGAAACTGGGTCAAATGCATGTGTTGTAAGCATCTAACTTCTTTAATGCTAGATTCATATATGTTGTATTTTGGAGGTGGAAGAAGGAGGTTTTTTTGTGGTGGCTTTTTATGTGTGGTGATGTGGTTTTTTTCATTAGACTGTTTTATGGGCCAATTACTTTTCTCTTTGGAATTTTTTGGGCCAAATCCCAAGAGACTCATGGAGTTTCACAGTATGTCCAATGACTTTTGGAGATGCTTTTCCAGCACATAGTATCTGAGATAGTTGTTGTTTTCAAATATTGTCACAAGCTGTAAATGCCAAAGCCACTGCCCAGATAAATGAAATAATAACCTGAAGTTCAGATTAAAGGAAAGGAAGGTTTCTTCCTTTCTAAAGATCACTTGCATAGGAGAGGTGAAGAATATAGTTACCACATCATGCTGTTATTGCAATTGTCTTATAAACAGAACTAATTAAATGCAAGAGAAAGGATCCTGATGACTGTTTTTTCAAATATCTTTTACACCTGTAGGTGTATTAGTGGCTCCCTGGCATAAGTTCACTTCTGTTTTAGATGTTTTAACTCTCTCTGGTATTGTGTGCCATATCAGGCTTCATTTTATAAGATACAAGAGATGATGAAACAGAAAATAGAAAAAAGCCACCAGTGTTATAAGTATTTTTGGAGCTGTAAATAGTCAATATGATTGTTTTCAATGTTTTCACACACAGGTTTACTCTTATGTCACAATTATCTGTAATGGTTAGTTTATTTTTTTCTTATTTTCAGTCATATAGACATTTTTAGATTTGGTGTATAAAATATATAATTGGCTAAGCTGTAAGACAGCTCTTAATGGTCTTTATGGTCTTTTTAAAATATGAATGGAAATAGGAAGTGTATAAATGTAATGGATTGCTTAGCATTATTGTGGTAAAGAGCATTTCTAAGTTTAATACTGTTGGGGGTTTTTTGTTACACAAAGATATACCTGTGCAAGATGGACTGTCCAGTGTCTGCCAGAGCAAGTGCTGAGCATTCAGTGCAACAGGAGCTTGGGGAGGGTAACCCAGTTAGTCCTGGTTGGTGTCTCTGTGCCAGCCTAGTCCTCCTCTCTGCCTCCTCACAGTTGCCTTTGTAAGCTGTCATCTGTCATGTAGTTTTGTCCCAAATAGGTTTTAGGTATTTTTAAGAAAACAAAAAACTACGTAGCATGCAAATACAAAATATAAAGCCGAAGAAATGGATTTCTTTTTGGTTCATTTAGGCTTTTGTGCTGTTAGCTTCATGGCAGATGTTTTCTTTTCAAGGCTGTACACTATCACAGAGTGTGTTTTATCCAGAGTGAATGCTAATGTCTACATTTGGTGGCATTTTTAAGAAGGGAAATATTTTTAATGACAAAGAACAAAGTCTGAAGAACAAGTGGACCCTTTTTCTGTGTTTCTTTAACTGGAATTGGGTTGCTTTACCTACAGGTTTTGTGGCTGACTGGCTTCTTTCTCTTCTTTTTTATCATAACATTTGGGAGTTTACAGCAATTAAATTACTACTCATGAAGTTATTTCAAACAAGCTTTTGCTCAATAAAGATGGAGTTTGGGTTTTGTTATTAAATCTTGAATACTGTCTCTTCGCTAGGAGGAATTTCCACTTATCCTGGGAATTAATTCTGGGTTTAGCTGGTATTAAATTACAGTGGTTTTGTTTGGTTGGGTTTTTTTATCATCATCTTCTTCTTTTCCCACTGTTCAGCTGTGAGGTCTGGCTGGCTGCCCCCACCACCACCTGCACTGCCCCCTCGACCTTCTGTGTCTCAGGTATGGACAAAGCTTTAGTTCTTTGCTGTGTGTTATTTATTTATGTTACCATTGCAGTGGTTAGCACAAGTTGGCTTGGACACAGCAGTTGTTCTTGCTTCCAAGCTAATGAAAATCTGCAGTTTGCAGTTCCATGTTCTCCTTCCTGTGTCTGGCTGGTGTGTTGCAGTGTCAAATTACAGACTAATTAAACTTCTTTGCAGTGGAGCTGACATGCACCCCCTAGACCTAACTGCAAATAAAAGGCTAGCAAAATTAGTCTGTTAAAATGAGTTTAATGCCTGCAGGCATGGGCTTGATATCTGCTGTTGCTATTTACTTCTTGAGCTTCAAAAGCACTGAGGGCATCTGCTAAGGGAACCGTGGCATGGAAGTGTGTGTTGCACCCATGGGCTTAAAAGAATAACACTGAAAGGAAGCAAATGCCACGACAGTTATGTGGTTACATTTCAAGCCATTAGCGGTGTGCTTTTATTTTGCATTTTGGGTGAGTTTTTGGGTTTTGTGTTTTAGAGCATGACACAGCTACAGCACAACATAAATCGACAAAATCATGCATGTCTGCATCAAGATAATTCTTCACCTTTCAGGAGATGATGAAGGATCATAATCCTTTTTTATGTTGTTGGCTGTGTTAAGTCTTAGGCAGCAATATGCTTCATACATTACTCCTTTTGATGAAGTGTATGGTAGGAAACAAATCCACAGGGGAGCTGACAGCTCTTACATACAAAAAGCTGGTGAGATACCTCCCTTAGGCCATAATGGTCATCACTTGAGTTTAAGGGATCTACCCTTAAGAGTGTGCTGTTGGACACCTCTTCCTGCACAGTGCTTATGATAGAAATTATTAGAGGCTGGTTGCCAGATGCAGCTCAATCAGCAGCTTGTTGTGCTCTTTTTCTCTCCATCCCTTGCTAGCACTGAGTGCAGTTTCTGGCTTGAGGACTGTAGAACACTGTAGTTTGAGTTTGCATGTTTCCCCAGTCCAGATGGCATTGGCCATGCTGCTAACAGCACACACGCCTTAGTTCCCCCATGACATTGGGGAGATGTCCAGAGACATCTGAGACAGCATTTCCCTCTGGCTTTCCCACATCCCCCAGCACACCTCCCTGCCTCCCAATCCCACATCCCCCAGCACAGCTCCCTGCCTCCCAATCCCAGATCCCCCAGCACAGCTCCCTGCCTCCCAGTGGTGTGCCTGCAGCAGTTGCTGCTGCACCCTATGCCAGCCCTCCTGCCACTGCTGCAGTTTCCCCCAGCACTGGCTGTGTGCAGTGCAAGTCCTCTGGCTGCCATTGGGAAAAGCACTAACTACAGTAAATCCTGCTGTCAGAGAACAAAACCCTTGGTTTTAAGTAAGGTTCTGTTAATTGTCCGTTCTCTTGTCCTGTGATCAGATTGTGTTTCCTTAGCAGGGGAGTGTCACCTTAATTTGTTTCTGCATGTCCAGCAGCTTCCTCACCAAATACTGAACCAAATGCTCATCCTACATTGGGATATGCAAAATGTAGGACCTTTCTAAAATGATAAACATGAGAACATTCTCATGTGAAATTTTTTTATTCAGTCCTCTTGTTACAAAGGTCTGGTTTCTGAAAAAGAAAGAGTGGTTTCTCTGTCTGCTCAGTAATGAATATGCAGCTGGTGCTTTGCTAAGATGCATCACTTACATTTACTTCATTTATCTCTGATGATATTTAAAGATACTGAACCAAATATCAAAACACTATTGTATTAATGTCTTCTAAAACTATCTAAAACTGGTCCTTGAAAACATGATAAACTCCATACTCATCACATTATTTATTTTTTCCCCAAGCATGCTCTTCTGTGATAAAAATAGCAGACAGTAGGGAAGTTTGTGTGATGGGGTCATAGTTCAGCTGAGCTGACCTTTGCAGATAGCATGTAAGCAATAATGAGCATATGGATTACAGTAGTCCAGTGGGGCCCTTGATTTAAAGAGCACAGAGAAGTTGGAGGAAGGGATCTGCTTTCAAAGCTGAGACAGGATCAAGACCTGAAGAAAAGCCATGGGGCTGAAAATGCATATTCAGTTTTATTTTTGTTTCAAGATTTCCCAAATTCTCTCCTTAAATTTCTGTTTTAACTTATTTTTCAACATTATTAAAAATCATTGTTTAGTGTAATTTTGCTGTACACCTGCATTTAAGCACTGTTAATGACAAACATAGCTTGGAAGTGAAGCAAACCCTGCATGTTTCAGGTGGCTGTGCACCTTATAAGTAGGCTCATGATATGATGATATGATTATTTTAGCCCAGCTTTGGAAATAATTTGATGGAGGAGGAGAGGGAAATAATTTCTTACACCATAGGACTATGGATTTCTATGGATGACTGAGAAGCAGCTTGAACTAGTTGGCTCTTTAGATTGAGATTAAAGGGCTCAGGGGACATAAAAACCAAAGTGTATAAAAGAGAGGTACCCAGAGGTAGGTGTTACATTTCAGTGGATCAGAAGTCCAGAATACAGAGCAGAATATAGAAATCATACCTTGACTTTGGTCCTGTGTTGCTGTGCTTTTTAGTAGAATTTATTTCAGCCTTTAGGAAAACATTATTTTTCCTGTCAGAACCTCCAAGGTAATCAACCTTGGTGAGTTACTGAATCACTGGTTATTCAGAGTGTGCCAAACATCTCTACTTATATCACAAACTTCCTAAATTATGTCCACATCCAACTCTGCTTCCATGGTCCAGGCAGCAGAATTCTGAGGGACAAGGATTGTATCACAGGGTGAGGAGAGCACAAGATGGTACTTACAGCTGATACTGTTGTGGCATTGACTTCACAGCTCAGGGGATGCACAGGCTTACTGTGGCAGGCTTGAGTCTTGGGATGCTGTGAGGACCTGGCCAGGTTATGGCAAATAGCAGCAGGGCTGGCTTCTCAGCTCAGCTTGCTGCTGCCAGCCCATGCTCTTCCACACCTCTGCCGGGCTGACACCTTTACAGGTGATGTCTGCATCTCTTTTTACTTCTACAACAGCTTTTTGAGCTGGTGGATTTAAGACTGTGTTTCTCTTTTTTTGATGGCCTCTAAAAGACTATGGTAGGATGTATCTCCATTGCCAAAGTCAGCATTTTATTGACTTTGTATGGGTTCATAAGCTGTATTTAAGGTTTTCTCAGAGCTTTCACCAGACGCTTCTCTGAGGCAATGATGCTTTTATCTGAGGTCACTATGATAACTGTGAGTAACCTGAATAAGTAAAGGTGGACAAAAGGCCAGTTTAAATAGTGTGGATACATCATTATCTTCAGTTCATGATCTTTTAAACCAAATTCCAGCCCATACCTCTCTGCACTCCAAGCCATTTTGAATTAATGTTTACAGTAAGACATTGTGAATTGCAGAATTAACTCTTTTACTAGATTAATCAATTAATATAAATTAATCAATTCAAATTGCTTTCCAATTAAAAAAGTCATTCAGGTTTTGCCTCAGTTCTGTAGAGTTCTTGGAAAGATTATGTATGGAAAAGCACTTATACATAGACAAGAGGAGATTTTTTAGATATGTCACTTTGAAATGTTTTCCTTTTGTGCATCTCACGTTTACCAAGTCTGCAGTAGCTTCTTGGATTTAAGGATAATTTTATCCATATCGATTTCCCAACTTTTTTGACTATAAATACTTAATATACTACAAGCTGTTGTAGACTAAGGATACTGACAGTGCCTTACCTCTGCTTATTTCCCATGGCATGCTGTAGTACATAGAACAGATAACCTGTAGCTTTTGGAGACACCTACTGTGTTTTTTTTTTCTGGGCTTGTAGAGAATGGGATTCAGTGGCTTGGGTAAGTTTTCCTCATCCTGTGTTCCTAACTTGATAGTAAACTTAAATCATCAAGGAGAAATGGCATAAAGGTGACCCCAAAACTCATGTGCAGATCCAGGGCTGCACAGAGAAAATTTGTGTAATATGAAGGTGCAAGAATCATGGTAGGAAGGCAGAGTAGCTATGCAGATGATTTGCAGTGACACAGATTTCAGATAGAAAATAACTTTGGGTGCTCATGAATAATGTTCTGCTGGAGCTAAACATGTATGCACATTTCATACAAGCCCCTGTTGTTATTTTTTTTTTAATGGAAAACCAAATAATACTTTATTACTGTTGGCTTTTAAGCCTACAGAAGTCATTTACTACAGCTGCTTTCTCTGGCAGATTTAGTAACATATTTATGTTAATAGGAATTACGGATGAACACCAAAAAGTAAATATAACTTTAGGATTTTATCCAAAATCAGCTAACTATCTGTAATGTTGCCCAATTAGATCAACATTCCTTTATTTAAATTACTCTATTTCAGTACCTTCCTGTCCAGCGATGAAGGCGTATCTTCAATCCTGCCTGTGCTGTATAAGGGAATTTGAAAACAGTGGGACTGGAAGAAAACTTTGTGTATCTTGGCTGAAAAAACTGATGTTCCTTGTCTCTTTTCCCAGAGTCACAATTTTAAGCCTGTTGGTTTTGTAAATTCACACTGGTTTGTGCTGCACTTTTATTTCTGGAGACCTTGGGATGTGTTTTTCCCACTGATTCCATGCTGGCAGTTTTGGCAGGCACTGAAAAAATTATGGGTGAAGGCAAAGCATTCAAGTGAAGTAGAGTAGGCAGCAGCTGTTAACATTATCAAATTGAAGTACCCTGAGTACAGTGCAGCTCTAAAGATTAAAATCTCGCTGTGTTATATGAGCTCAGAATTCGGCTGTCAGTTTAGTGGCAGTTGTTATTGATTTGGTGAAATCCTGGAAATGAAGCACTGTGAGGGGTGATGGGTGGGTCACCCTGCCCAGTCCTAGCCCCTGGTGGTGTTGGAAAGCAAAGATACTGCTCTTTTTAATGTATTGAATGTTCTGCTCTCCAAATGTTATTTCATAACTCCTTGAAGCTTTTTGGACATTCATCATCCAGAACTGCAACTAAAAACTGGGGCCCATTTCAAGAAGTTGTCTCTAC